AACTGCTCAAGACTAGAGATCCCCAGGGCAGATCTCTGGTGGGACGGTGGAGGGAAGATCTTACGGTCCACCCATCTAATTGGGAAGGTACTTGTGCACTTGTTCAATTAGCTATACCCTTCACCCTGGCATTTGAAAGAGAAACATCACAAATACCCAGAGGAAGTAAAAGAGGCTTAGGAATATCATTTGATGATAGAGTATACATAGATTCTATGGGGGTACCTAGAGGAGTTGCAGATGAACATAAAGCCAGAAATCAAATTGCTGCAGGGTTTGAGTCACTGTTCTGGTGGGTAACAATCAATAAAAATGTGGATTGGATTAATTATTTCTATTATAATAAGCAGAGATTCATCAATTATACCAAGGATGCGATGAGAGGAATCGCTGAACAACTAGATGCCATCAGCAAAATGGCTTGGGAAAACAGGATAGCATTAGATATGATGCTCGCAGAGGAAGGAGGTGTGTGTGTGTGTAATACTGAGCAACCATTGTTGCACTCTTATACCCAGCAATAGTGTCCCAGATGGCTCAGTAACAAGAGCATTGCAAGGGCTTACCACCCTTGCCAGTGAATTGGCAGAAAAAAATAAAAAAAGATAGGCATATTTGCAACATTGATCGTAGTTGTAGGAGTTTTGACAGCCATTGGTTGCTGCATTATCCTCTGTGTAAGAGGACTAGTACAGTGGTTAACTGAAACCGCACTATTGAAACAAATGACCATGGAGCTACCACCTTACTCAGATAAGGAGATAATGAGGAGATGGAAAGCAAAGAAAGCAAAGAAGTCTATCAAATTATACCTTAGAGAAAGGTTTTGCAAAAATCAACAGTTTATAAAAAAAGAAAAGGGGGGAATTGTGGGAATAGAAACGTTGTTTTTGCAGAGTTACATTGTTTAGAAGGAGGGAATGTGGTACTGAGATATGCTTACAGTGATAAGAAAGTTTAGCAGGCAACCTAGTAAAATGCAGACAACCAGACTCCTTAGGACAATTAGGTGAAAATCACGGTGTCAAGTCAAGTCAGATAAGTGAAGAAACATTACCACTTCAAGCAGTAAAAATGTCAAAAGAAATTTGAAATTTAGCAGGCCGGCAACTGAAGGCCATGCATTGTTTGTGAAGCATCAGATAGATTGTGAACCTGGATTACCCACTCAGTGGGGAAACAGGGGAGGGTCCTGCCATCAAAAGGTATATAAACTGTGTTTTGGAACTAGTAGATGCGCTCTCTCCTGCTTGTGGGGCGCCCGCCATTGCAATCGCGAATAAATTACTACTTCACTGAGATCCTCGCCTGAGCCTAAGTTATTGGCTACGGAGTGTTTCTCACACACCTATAAAACTAAAGCTTTTTAAGGTGTCGTTCTTATGTTTCTACAGTGTTTCTTTAAGGCAAAATGAAGCAGTGTAGCAACTACAACTATGATAGTTATTTTGGGGGCCACAAACTCTCCATGAGTTTTTCTGCTAAGAAAAAGAGGGGAAAAAAAAGCCAAGTCTTCATCAGCTGAGGACTTCAGTGATACAAAAACAGCAATATAAGACCTCAGAGGAGACCTTTGCAGGTAAAACAGAGCATTTGCATATACTTGTTCGAGTACAACTTCCTTCTATGCCTCCCACTCTACAACGCAGCATTAAATGCTTTGAATCTGTCAGCCAGGGCTTTAAAAGCAGATGTCAAACAACACACATATTAACATTTTGGCTGTTTCAAAGTCACATGTTCTAAGTTTTAGCCTAGGACTCAGTACTGTTTCCTCTTAGCGAGTAATACTTCTCCCTGTATTTTGGCAGCAGTGCTGGCATTGGTCCACTATTTTGCCTTCAATTTGCTTCTTTTTCTAGAAGTAATGGCCAAATCAGTATCAACCAGGATTTGTTTTGACTTTCACTCTTAGACATTTGACTAGGAGAGAATATTTTATAGCGATCAAGCATGAGAGCCCAGAGTCCTGAACCATACCTATAAGCACATACCTGTTTTTAACTTTCATTATGCTTTCCATCATGAATATGATGGAAAATAAATATAAATATAAAAATGTGTGTGTGTGTGCATGTGAACACACACTAGCATATGCAATGCAAACATCTTATAGCACTTAGCAATTATCATGGAAATACTTTTACATTCCTGTTTATAAAATATACAATTTAAGGATTTGGATAATTTGGTTAACATATTGCACACTGCTAGTTAGACACCGCTTATTTATATGTACACAACAGTGTAATGTTTGACTAAAAATACAGCTAATGCCAATGATCTACTTGTGTATCAGCCTTACGTAATGCAGCACAGCAAATCAACGCTGACACACGCTTAAGGACATTCTTAGAATGCACTGTCACTCTGTGTAGTTGGCACCACATCCAAATATTGTTCATATTCAGGAGAAATAACAAAACATCTTGCTAATCTTTGTGAGAGTTGGAAAGTAATGTAGAGTAGATACCAGCTGGTTTTATATTAAAAAACAAAACTAGAAAGGAGTGAAAATGAGACTATTGTGTAAAAATGAAGAGCTAGATTGCTGAAATGTGGTTGCAGAAACAATGTAAATAAAGCTACTGTTAGGGTGAGAACTTGCTTGCAAGAAGAAAAGAATTTTAATTCTGAGGCAGGAGGCAGTCCTGGATGCTGACTGATTTCTTTACACCAAAATACAGGAATGGTAAGGAAGAAAGATGGGACCAAAATCCTATGAAACTCAGCTTTTATGCCTTTTCTGGTAAAGCTCGTTTCAATTGCACGTAGCAGCTGAAGAATGAACGATACAGATGATTCCATCTCCTTTGGAAATGCCCAACTGAACTGCAGAGGGAGCTCTAGGCACATGGTAGGTACACCTTACGTTATAGACACCAGACCGGCTCTGCCTTTTCAAACAAAGTACGTCCACTGCAAGGAAGACAGACAGGTAAAGAATGAGGTAGGGTTTTTTGTTTGTTTGTTTGTTTGTTTGTTTTCCTCTCTGCATTCAAGCCAAAAACTGGAAATTCATTCTACTTTTTGTAAACAATCGAATTCTCACTTCACTCTTACACCTGGAAATTAAAACGCCATTACCAGGTTGTCATTTTTGTTCACTGACCCAGAAACTGTGACAGGAGCAGCAAGCATTCACAAAGCCTATTGCTACAACAAAACCAACTTTGTCTCCAAGAAGTCTGCTGGGCTATTAGCAGCTGATGAGCTGCCTCTTCTATAACAAGTATTGTAGTAACAAATGAGAACAAGAATTATTTGACACCTCATTTCCCATAGCAACATCTCTGAAAATGCAGACAATTTGGAGACATAGGAAAAAAAAGTGCTTCAAACATTCACGATATTATTTCATTGCTCAACAGGCCTTTTCTGATATGTAAAGGGTTTGTGCTATTCTTCTCCCCTCTCCCCCCCCCACTTATTTATATAACGTAGGTTTCTCTAGATGATTTAGTCCTCAACAGTGGCACAGAAAGCAAAGCAACAAGGGAGTCCTCATTTAGAAACTAAAAACCTTGAAACCTTTGGCTTTTTGCATTACAGAAATAAAGTAAGAAGAAAGTAGGAGACCAGCAACCAGACTGAAATCCATTCCTTAAATGCAAGCCAATCATTCACATCATACCAGTCTCCAGCAGGGAGGGTGCCAAGGATGCTGAAATCACACGGAGTTTGGTGCAGGGTTACTTGGGCAAGTTCTGGCAGCCTGCAGACGTTTCTGACATGCTCTGCTTGTAGCAGACATTTTTGCACAAATGCATGCTCTTGATAATTCCCAGTGCAATGCATTAGTCAGTTTCATCTACTATCAGCTATTTTGAATGCCACAGCTTCTCCCTGCTAACCATACTAGTGGTGAATGCTGAACTGTAACTTTTGAGTACCCCCAGTCCAATAACTGGGAGATAGACATGGAACTTCATCAGCTTGGTTCTCTTAGAAAGACACAATCCAATAAATAATATCATTCACCCCTGTAGACAGCTAACAGACACCTCTCCTTCCTGTACACGTTTTGCTAATTAACCACTATACGGATCCTAACTATTTATCCTAGGATTTTAAAAACTGAATGAAATTTTCTTTAATGACAGAGCTATCAGTCTTTGAGCCAAATCAAGTCATTATGTTCTGATGATTATAAACTCTGTAACATTTTTTTTTTTTGTCATGACAGCAGGTACTAGTGTTTAAACAATTTTGTTTAAACAATCCCCACCATTTAAAAGTATAAGTAAATCTAAGAAGACTTGATAAGAATGGATCAGCAGCTCCCAATGAACTCATTCTGGACACTAGGAGTATGTCATACCACAAGAATTATCATTACTGTTTCTGGTGATGGAAATACTAAATAAATAAATGACTAACTCTGTTTTGACACGAGCTAATGACTTGATAAACAAGGATAAAACTTCTCTATTTCATAACACATTACATTCCATCCTCATTTAAGATCATCTAGCAATCCTGAATCTTCCTTTTGAGGCTTCTGATCTCTGGCCCTAAACTTAACTTAAAATAGTACACTGACAGTTATGAAATGCTTACATGGCAAGATATTTCCATTTTCAAAAGGAACACACTCTTTATTAAAAAATCTAGGGGGGGAAATGACTTACCAAAAAGTAGTCTGAGTTTACAAGCTGTGCTGGCAAGGAGTTCAGTACAATAAATACTACAGCCAGCCACAGTCAATATGGTTCATGTGAGGTTACAGGGAACTACAAAAAACATAGAAGAATGCTTAATCCCCACTAATACTGGTACAAAATGGAAGCAGCTCCATTAAAATGCATGATATTATACCTGTGACACTAAAAATAAAGCAAGTGTCAGTTGGAACTAAATGCAGAAAAAATGTGACTGGGACAACTACAGGAGTAACAGTTGGACTTGATGATCTTAAGAGATCTTTTTCAACCTAAATGATTTTAAAATATACTTTTCTTACAGATACGGGAATTATACAACAAATCCCAACAACTTACCTGCCTCTTGTCATCTGGTGCTTTAAGGAAAAGTGCATTTATTACCGCAATGGTATATGTCTGGATTTCTTGGTCTGTCCTGTTTGGAAAAAAAAATATAAACATGAGAGAAGGTGACGAAAATACACAAGCTGTAGAAACTAATCTTCCAGTTGCATTACTGCTGGTAGAAGTCAAGGGACTGTTTGCACTTAGTATCACCCATGTGTAAGTTAGGTAGTTAAATCTAGTCATCCAGGTTCTCTCTATTACTCATATGAGAAACAAGATGTTCCAGAAGGAGACTCAGCACTCAAGAACGGTGCACTGAATCATGACCTCAAAGTGCCACTGACTATGCCCAAACAAACAGCTCCTGTCAGATGTCCACCAGCTACAGGTAGAATGAGGAATCCCTTAAAAGTGCTATGGAGAGGAATCTGTTGGTATTAAAAGTGTTTCAGGAGAGTAGAGGCATGGATAGCTAGTTGCACAATACATTACCCTATGCTAAAAAGGAGGTGGTTTTCATCTGTTTAACCACAGCATATTCCTGTTAAAGAGAAAGCTTCTCCCTTTCCAAATGTACCTTCAATAAAAGTTGAGTAGTTTTGTCTTAGACATTTCCCAGAGCAAAGAAAAGCAACCCCATCTGTATGTTAATGGCTCTAAAGCCTTTAATCTCTACTCAGTGCTCTTCTTTTCACTTCCCACCTCCAACCACACTGGCAACTTAGCACCAAGAAAAAAGTGTATTAGAAGCAGCAGTAATAACAATAGAAGTCTATGATAAAGCAATTCCAGAAAACTGCTAACCTGTCATTCAGCCACTTATAATAAATGTGAAAATAATGCAGGAGGCTGCTAGTCTTTATACCACTCTTCTTCTAAACGCTGTGCTCATTTGGAAAAAAAAAATAAATTACCACACCAAGTGGCATTTGAAGACACTCACCCTTGGAGATGTGGGATTAACTGTCCAATTGTGATCTCCTGTGCCACCTTCTGGTACAGGTCATGGCTATTGAGCACCATCGATTCCAGAATTGCTAGCGACCGTTGTAAGATAGAGATGTCCGAGGCAAACTTGTTCACGTAGCTTGCTATCTACAAATTAACACATTTTGAACATTTGCATCTTGTCATGAAACCAGGGAAAGGGAAGAAAGAAAACTGTGGAAGTGGCTCAGGAATCATCAGAACAGAAGTAGTCTTGCCCAAATGCCAGGCATCAGTGAACACCTGAAAGCACTCAACAAGGCACTGCAGATACCTTCAAAGGACGCAGTGGCACAGATTCTTCACCTGGCACAAATCACCACATCTTTATGTCAATATTAATGGCCACATGCCTCAAGATGAAGTTATGCACAAGATAAATCAACATTAAAGAACTCCGTTACATTTTTTGTGAGGGAAACTTTGGAAAGGATCACAAGAATTCTGCTCATTCTCTCCAGGATCTGTGCAGCCAATGCTCTCTAAACAAATTTCTAGGCTCAAAGCAACTGCTGCAGGAGAGAAATTTACATCTATATCTCTGGAAAATGCAACTCCAGCAAAATATACTTTTTTTTTTTTTTTTTTTACTTGCTGTTACCAACATTAAAAGCTCTTCCAGATTGCAAATTAAAACTCAGTCGATTATCATTTATCAGCACAACTGATTGTGTAGCTCTATCTAGAATCCTGTCTTGCTAGCTGTTCATGCATTAATAACCCTCACTCTTACCGAAAGCTGCTATGAACAAATGGCACACTAATAGAAACCACGTCTGACCTACACATTTCTGCAGCGTGGCAATAACTTAATGCATGCTCACATCTGTGGAGCCAACACAGCTGTGTGGTACCATGTGGCAGCATATATTCTTTCTTCTGCATGCTTCCCAGTCTGTAGACACAGCTCCCAGGGGAAGCCTCTCACCTTCTGCTGGCAAAGGAAGCAAGAACCGCTTGGGTTTTCTTGAAACATACCTATACCAGCACAGAAAAGCAAAAAGGTACCCAAGGAAGCACAGACAAGAGATGTCCTGTGACTAGTTATTTACTTGTTGTAGACTTGAGATGGGGTCACTGCAGTCTATGTGATGCATTCTTTCCAGAAACCTTGAAGTCCATGCCCTTCTTAAGTAGTCATGCTACACGCCACTAACATGATTATACTGTTTTGGATTCTAGAAGCTCACTTAGACCTTGGTATCATTTTCCTTTTGGAGGAAGAAAGGTATGCCCTTTGCCTGGAAAAGCTGCCTTGCTGATTGTAAAATTCACAGCTAGATATCAACATGGGGACAATGACACTGTTTTGTTCCTGTGACATTCTGAGTAGTGCTGAAGCAGCAACACCCCCCTCCCTTTTTAAAAAAATAACTTTGGTAGGAGACTATGAGGAAAGAGGGATGAATTTTTGTTCTTTTAACCTATTGCACCGCTGTTTGTTGCTCTGCTACTTGCTTTGCACTGCCACAAGAACATTTAATGCAGAATACAAGGCATCTGTTCACAAAATAGGCATTGGATTTACAGAACAATAAAGAACCAACCCATGCACGTATGGACAACAGCAGGAGAGGAGCAACTTAACCAGCCTTTTTCTGCTCTGGACTTTCACTATCTGCTATCTGCAAGTCTTGAGCACAACTACTATTTACATTAATAAATAATGCACATTGTGCTATTTAGGGTGACAAGCTACATCTCTGCAGCCCTGTACTACCCTGCCTCTCTTAATGTTAATCCAGTTGTTTTCTGATACACTGCAGCCAGGACTGCCAGATGTCCAGAAATCCCACAATATGGACAGTGGGCATGCACAGATCAGCTCTGCGCTGTTCATACAATCAGCCAAATGCACTCCAGATGCCTCAGCCACCAAGCACACATGGATCAATTGCGCAGCAGGAATACAATATGCCCAGAATGCATCCCAAGTTGTCACTCTGTTGTCACCATGCTCTTTACAAGCCTTGACATAAATCATTCTTGGTGCAGCAGCTCTTTTCCATGATATTTCAAGTGCCAATGCAAATGCTTCACTAGGATATAACAATCTTATTAGGGGGCTGCTCTAATCAAACGGTATAGATATCTGAAACCTCAATCTAAGAAAGACACATTTATTCTTCTGATCCTGGACCATACAGCCTTTTACCATCATAAACACAAGCCCAAGGTATAAGTGAGTCTGGCTTGCGTGTTTAAAGAGCTTTGACGTCTCACACTGGACATACATTACATGCTAAACGTCTGCTGGGTAACTTGCATGTCAAGCTATGTATATTCATAGCCACCTTGCTGAAGCATGAAATCGGGCCAGAAATAATAGGCTTGTCTACTCTGAGAAATAAGACATGCCATTACCAGAGGGAATACAATTAGTTTAAGAAGAAATTTGATTACCATATCCGAAGTTCTGGATGTAGAAAAAAGACCTTTCCTGAGAACAGACAAGAATCAATAGGAGCTTGAATTTGTGTCATTTGCTGTTCTCTAGAGAACTCTGCTTATTGAACACCATGTGCCAGGAGGGCTTTCAACATCCAAAAATAATTCTGCACTCATTTATCAAAAATTCTGATGATTAAAATAATGCAATCTCACAGAAATACAACCTCCCCTCCAGAAACAAGAAACTTAATTGCTTTGCACTTTCACATGAAAACCTGTCACGCAGATGTGTGTCATTAAGGATAAAACTATTTGCTCAGCAAAGGTACCTGTAACCTTAATGTCTGCATAGCCCCACTGGGACATGTAGCCACATACAATAGAAGCAACTGGGTGCTGAGCTTCCTGCCAATTTCAAGGGAAATTAGAAATCAGGATTCCTTTACAAAATCAGCCTCAGTTCTTGATGAAACAGGACCTATAGAGTAAGGGCAGATAGGAAACCAAAATAAACAACATATTCTGAGCTCTTCTGTTTCAGAGTCACCTAAAGTCAGGAAGGAATTTAAAAGTTACAATAGCAACAACAACAACAAGCAAACAAACACACCAATACCACCACAAGCCCACAACCACCAGGGAAAAAACAGGGAAGGAAACTGATCTAACTTTTCAAAGCAGTGATATGTTTATTAGTTATTTGTCTGTACCATTTTGATATCAGTAAGTGAAAATAACAGAGAAATCTGAGGCAGTTTATTTCTGTAGAGTCGTTATGCCTATTAAAGTTTTCAAGCTTGTATCTCAATTTCAAGGAAGAAACTGGAGTTCCACTTGACTACAGAAAAAACAACTGGCAGCGGTGAGACACAAAGATAGTTACCCTGCTGCCATCCCCTTCTCCTGCACTGTACATCTTGGAAGGCAGAGTAAGCAACTCATCAAGAGTAAGACTGCATCACATCATTATGAAACAGCACTTATATAAATAATTCTAAGAGATGGTTAAGAATACTTTAACCAACATTACAGGCCTTTATTTTATTTCTCCTATTGTAGAAACCAAAGGAGAGTACCTTTTTTTTCCCCTGATATCCAATTATCATGATGTTTTGTAAAAACTGGACAGCCAAATTCTTTAGGCAACTATGGAAATTCAACGTAAATACGCTTTATTGTCATGAGTAAGAAAAACATCTTGAGAGATGCTTGAACACTCTAAGAAAGTTTTTCAAGTTATAACATTTTCCCTGAAGATAGGGAACAAAGCTCTACTTGAAGGTGTCAACTCTTGTTTGCTGCAGATGGAATCTTTATGCAGTTGGAGTCTTTTTGTACCCAAAGGATGGGAGAAGTTGGACTGCATCCAACACCAACTAGTTAGTCATAAGGAGCAGTTAGACCTTCCCTTAAGGTCTCCTCCAGCTTCTACAATTCTAGTTAGGAAACTATTTATTCAAGGCAAAAAAAAAAAAAGGTAACTCATTCAGCCTAATTCTTTCCCATTCCAGTTTGGCTTCCATTTAACGTGAGAGACAGCTTCAAAGGACAGAAGCATTTGAAGTAGGATTGCAGAATTCCCTTTCAGCTAGAAGAAACTTATCAGCTCTCTTATCCATCCTGTCAGCCTCAAGTGGCCTGCCAAAAGCCAAGGTCAGAATAGCAAAGGAGAATAAAGCTGCAGATTCCCACCAGAGAAACACAGTCCCAAGATGCTCCTTTAGCTCCGCCCCTCGCCCCCACAGCTCCAGAGAGCACAGTTGTTCTGCCTTACAAATGCTTGGCAGATCAGGACGTGTTTGTGCCTCTTTCCTGTATTTTTGTCTTCCTTTGTCCTTCTTTCCTTTCTGTTTTAATACCCCCCTATTCTTCACCGTGGTCTCTTTCTTTTCCACCAGTTCCACCAGAAGACAGCCAGTCGCAGGGGTGCACAGCACCTCTTTCAGTTGTTACTATACAACTAACAGTGCAAGACATGTTGAAAGGGTAAGACAAAACCAATAATTCTGAGTCACTCAGTAGACTGATTTCAAGTCATTTTTCGCAAATTTCTTAATACGCTCATTTTTAGCCTCCTCTAGTAACTAACACATTCTGGGATTGACCTTGTATCTCATGAAGTCAATTAGAACATGTGCATGATTTTCTTTGTCATGGTAAAATAATAATAATCATCATGATAATCTACATAGCCTACAAGATTAGCAAACAAACAAAAAAGTCCCAAACCTAGATCAATATTAATTTTTCTTACAAATAATATCTATCATTTTAATGACCAAAACAGAACTTAAAATCTAACCCTCTTTTCATAATTGTTTCTTTCACTCCTGATAACAAAAGTAAATTTGTACTTTCTTTTGGTGGTAGCAATTTTGCAACCAAATTTAAAGTAGAAGTCTGATACATTTGGTTAAGAAGGAAAGCAATCTTTGTCACAGGTTACATTAGCTCCACTAGCCCCTGCTATCATTTTAGTGAATTAGAATATTTGAACTTGTACAAGTGCAATTTAAGCATATTGTTCCAACCTGTTTTGAAAAAAAAATCTTCAGAAATAGTTTAGTTTGTTTTAATAAATGAAAGAGCCTCCCTATTCAATTTCAACCTGTCAATAGTTAAGATGACAATAAGTGAAAATGGTTAAATCAGTAACAACAAAAGCTTTATTTTCTGAAGTCTGTTAAACCTCTGCATTTAAGGAGTACTCCAGTGTTTCTGTTGTTTTTGTGCAACTCCTACACTTATGAAAAGAAGAAAAACATTGCAAATCGTGGAAAAATCTTTTTTCAAAACCATAGAACTTTGCTGCAGGACTCAGGGGGCTGGAGTTTAGCTTCACAAACTCAGTAGATTCCATCTTAATAATTTCAATTTGTAAACGAACTAATTTCTCTTCCTTCCACACCCCCAAAGGAAACATGTCAGTGCTGTTTATGTTTCAAGAGATATATTATTACTCATTGCTCATTTATATTAAATCTAGACACTGATTTCTACTTTAATTGCATGGTATATGCACAAGAAGGTCACACCGTAACCAAGTGAACAATTGCCCACATAATAAGCCTAATATAGTGTTGATCCAATTTCACTCCCATAGAATTCAGTAACAGTTGAACTAGATCTTGCAATTAAAAATATTTGTAATTTTAAATAGCACTTTACTTCCATTTTCATATACCTTTTTGACCAAGCAATCACCTAAATAATATATCTGAAAAAGACAAAGCACAACTCACCTTAAAAAAAATTAAATTGTGGAAGCAAACTGGTACAAAATGCATAGTATTGATTACAAATTTACCTTTTTAATGAATGCCACAGAGAATGTATCCCACGATACAATCCCATGATCCATCAGCTCAACAAATGCAGTCAGTGTAAAGGACAACATATCTCCAAAGCTGCAAGAGACAGGAGTCATGACTACAGTTACCAGTAATGCAGCAGAGCAATGACTGAGGGAATAAAGCAGCAGGAAGCTTTCAGAAAGGCAGGAAAACGCAGCTAAACATGGACTAAGAGGTAGCAGAAGAGCGAGAGAGGCCATGCGAAAAATAGTCTCTCAAATAATTTTGCATGGACATCAAGAACGTTCATTTGGAAGAAGCAATTTTGCAAGAGAAGAACTAATCCCCAGGAAAACACCACATGCAATGTTCAAGGAAATCAGATAGTCTGACTAAACTTCTCCTGTGGAATTCAGAGTTTTAAAAATAAAAGAAGAAAATAAATGAAGTTTTTCTGAGCAACTTCCAGAAATGCTCTTAGTTGAATGTCACACAAAGACACCGTGATACTGTACCTCTATCAGTTAGGTAGAAAGTTAGTCTGTTCCTTTTCTTACAAAGAAACAAACATATCTAAAAAAAATGCTCCTGAAGAAATTGAGCAGTAATTTTGCAATAGTTAATGCCTCACTTTCCTTCTTTTAAATAAACAGATACACATTTTCAGGTTACCTATGGGCAACCATGTCAAATGGTCTGCAAAATTCCATCCACTCATCCAAGCCCGTAGCTCAAGTTGCTTAGGGTTTGCAGACCACTATAGCGGATAATTACCTGTAAAATTGAGATTCGGCACTTCTTTATATTAACTACATTCAAAACTGGTTTAAACTCAACATAAAGAATATGCTTTTAAACTGACTAGCTAACCCTGATCTTCCACATTAAAATCAGCTTTTAAAAATTTGCTTCATTTCTATTTATACGCATGGTACCCAACAGTCAGCAGCCACAATGATTTCAAAGAAACCATTCAACGAGGTAACTACTCAATACAAGCAGCAGTACACAGAGCCCCAAATGAAGCAGAATTACCTTTATGGGCACGCCAAAGTGCCTGCAAGGTACTCTGCCACTAAGCCATTAACAGGCACAAGCATGCAATCAATCTAAACAGCATGAACAGTCCCACTGATTTTAGTGCAGCACTTTACCTAATAAAAAGACAAAATTAAAAACTGCCAGATCGGAACTACAATGCTCAGTCTGTTGGGAAACTGAGGCTAGTAGTATAGACATAGTTAAAGAATGTAACTGGTAATCCTTCATGTGTCATTTGATCCCCTACTGTCCTATGCCAACCCAACCCAAATTAGTGAACATCTATGCAAACAGAAGATGTTTACTGCACCACAGAGGAATAACGCAGAAAATCAGTTTTAACATAAACATAGCAATTCCAAACATCATTGTTTACTGGATTTGATACAATCTGCCATTAAAGGTGCATTTTGCCATCAAAATAAGCTCCATAGTGGCCCCTTCATTTAAGATAGCTCACCTTTGGCAAAACTCTGCAGTAGCCGTCTGCTAAAATGAAGCTTGACACTCTTGACATTTTGTAAAGGAAAAAACACACACCCAACACCCACACACAAAAAAGCCTTCTTTTCCACAGTAAGGGTATCCACAGCATCTCTGATTATTTATGAGAAAATGAAAAGGCTATACCAAAGAGCAAACAAGAAAAACACTGTCTTAAAAAAAAAAATCCACTGAAATTCTACAAAGAATAGTTTGTTCAGCCATACATAATTTGAAAGTGTTTTTTTGTTTTGTTTTGTTTGTTTTTGTTGGGGGGGGGGGGGGGGGTTGCTTGTTTTTTAATACTGCAAATTTTTTAGGAATTACATTAGTTTTAAAATGTCATCATTAGCATTCCAAATAACCAAGGATTTCATACAAAGAAAACAGTAAGACAGTGTAGGAAACATAATCAGCTCCAGTACTCCTTCTCCCCAGTCCACTCCTTTTGTGCACAATGGTTGTTCATTTATGTCCAAATAAAACTGCATCCCTCAGAATGGCTTTCTTTTAAAAACTTGTACTGTGGATCTTCATGTCAGAATACTTCAATGAATATGTGAAATTCTGTTATTTTATAAAGCTAGACTAAACTAGATACATATAAATCGGAAAAATATTAAAAACTTTTTTAAGTTAAAAGGAGATAAATTATCTGCTCAGTGTAACTGGGAGAAATAATTTATTTTTTTATTTTTATTTTTTTTTAACCTGGGCAGCCTGCTCTAAGGAACCTGTTTTGGCAGGGTCTTGGATCCAATGATCTCTCAAGGTCCCCACAGTTCTGTGATCTTTATCTACCCTGGATTGCCCTATATATTTAAAAATTTAGTAAACATACCTGTATTTAGTACATAAATATTATTTTATAAAGTAATTAATACCCATTAACAATGAGTATAGATCAGAGGGATTCCTTATTAAACCTGCATATGTATATTCTCCTTCAGAACAGTAGTAGTCAGAATTCAGTTCAATACAATTCCTTTATATTTAGCAGTCTCATTCTTCTTGCCAAAACTATTCATTAATTCCACCAACTAATCCATTCTCCTGCACTGCTTTGGAGGCAAACTAGATTAATGGAGCCAAAACCACTGGTATTAACATATAAACCTGTTTTTAGTAGGCGTGACACTGATGCAATTGTTTAGGATCCAGACAGTGAAAGTATTTTCAATTTAAAATGATGAGGCAGGCTGCCCCACTGGGTGTCACTCCTATTACACTGTTTCAAGCAGTTAATGAGAGTGAAGAGATGCAACACTGGGAGTAATCAAGCAGAAAGGAATACTCCAACTCTACATATCACACGGCACATATAAGTAGTATGCATTTTTTAAAAATATCCATCTATCCATATGCATCTGCACACATGTATACACTAAGTAGCATCGCAAAAGTCAAAAGCCAGACATAAAGGATAAGCACAAGGAATAGCACAGCTGGAGATAAAATCAATTTCCAGGGTAACTAGCAAGATAAGGATTAAAGTAGTGGTGTTGATTCATTGTTATGTGTTTAAACACAAGCAGATAGGTAGAAACAGACTTCCAAGCATTTTCAATCCACACACACACAGACACACTGATACTATTGAGTGGCAGACAGAGTAGATGCAAGAAATTTCAAGGGAGTCAAAGCTTGTTCATACAATGTAATCATCTTAGAAAATAAGCAGTAGGCACTGTTTAACTCAAAACCTCAGTATTTTAGTCATACAAAAAGTTTGAAAAATGATGGGGCCTTCTTCATAAAATCTTCCTGAGGAATGCACAACACAAGGCACGATGGTTCTGTAAATATCAACATCTTGCCACTCCTGTGAAATGACCTAGTAGTTTGACGGTAATTCCTGATGAAGGTGCTTTCCAGTGCATATCATTGCAGCAAGAGGGGAGAGTGATCAGAAAGATGCACCGTGTAATTGCAATTTCACCTCTCACCATCGCTGACGTTTTAATAATCTGTTTTATCAGGAAAGCTGCTTGTACAATCCCTCTTCAGGGCTCTGGCTGGTAAGTGGCTTCCACTGCGACAGCCGATCAAGTTTCCCATTCTCTGCTGTCTGGCTCCCCTCTTCTAACGACCATTGCAGGTATGGATGAGCTGATCACAAGGCCCTTTCTCACCCAAAACAGCTGACAGAAAAAGTTTCAGACCTGCTGAAGAGTGAGTCAACAGCTGTTTTTCATTTTATTTTTACATTATAGGCAAAGATCAGGTCAATGCCTACTAATTTATGTTCCTAAGAATTTTCTGCTTTCTTACCTTCTGAAACTGAAGAAAAAATCCATACATTTTGACATTACTCTTTCCTAAAAATGAAAAGAACGTGTATGTGACTGACCACCATGTCTGTCTCTTACCTGCCTGCATGTTATTAATTCTACATGCAAAACCATCTTTTTATCATGTAGTTTTAATCCTCAGATGTAATGTATGGAACTATGTCTGATATTCTGAAATATTTAAATTGCCTAAAGCAATTTGGATTTCTTCTCAAATTAAATTAATGGGACTTGATCACTCAAATTCCATAGATATTAAAAAAAAACTCAATTCATGTTTATACATTGTATTGCTATAGAGGATGGAAAAATATTCAGCTGTCCAAATGATTCTGTAAATCAAGATAATTAATCAGGGTAAGCTGTCATCAGGTCACAGAAAAATCACTAAGAGCTTTTACAAAGCTTGGTGGACTGTTTCATGTTTTACATTATAGAAGTTGCATAGGAAAAACTGGAAATTAACAGTTACTTGTCCATCCTGACCAGGATCCCGCTACCAGCCCATTAGGACTAGAAGCCAAAGCCAGTATTCCTTCGCACAATGTTTTTCATAGACAAAACAGAATTGAAACTAACTGTGCAGACAGCAAAGAAAAGAACTTGAACTGGGCAGGAGGCAAAAAGGGAGCTGCAGTCCACCACCAGCTGCAGGAGTTAAGGAAGTGGTTAGCTTCCATCCAGCAACTGTGCTCAGCTGAGCAGGCCTGACTTCACTGAGGTTAACATCAAAGAGAAAGAACAGCTTTGTAAGTAAGAGTTGTCAGGGATAAATGGCCACAAATAAATCTAAACAGAGCAGAATTTATCTAATCATAAGAGGACAAGAGCTCTGGAAAAATCATGGAGGCAAAAACGAAGTCCAACGATGCAGCAGGATGCTCTGTAAGCATAGCGTGAACAAGTACCTCTTCTATTGCTATGACTCTTCTTCATTGCTTCTGCATTTCCTTGCTTCTCCAAGTAAGCTTTCCAAGGGTGAAGATAAGCCACCATCACATCAAACTGGGAGCAATTCACACTTGCTTGCTATTTACTCTGATATACGGCTGAAAACGACTGAACAACCTGCAGGGTAGCTGCTCCTATTTTTCTAAGTGATGACAGAAAGCACACTTAACTGATACAGTGCAATTGACAGATTATTTTTTGCAATGTGCCAAGCACCACTGAAGTATTTCTTTGTGGTACAGTTCCACCATGTTCATTATAAGGGATCAGCCCTACTGAGTTTAAACCACTTGCATTCCAAAAAAAAATTGAAATAGCTTTGTAACCCTGGTATTAGCACTTCTCTAAGCTTGAAAATTAACTCTGTTAAAAAAAAAAAAAAAAAAGACTGTGAAATTAAAACAGAACTTTAACTATTCTTGAATAAATTCAGGTGTAGATACACTTACTATGGAGTAAGACTTAATCCACTTTTAGGTAAATTAAGTAATTGTCAACATGAGAAAGTAGCCCAGAGGAGCTATTACACAGTGGTTCTTTGTGAAGATGTGATTAGAGTTACCTTTTCTCTTATTCCTCATCTTTTAAGTTCATGTTTTTGCTCATTTCATGGTAATTTTCCTAAAAAGATAAGCCTTTCTTAAGACTAGGAATAACTACTTGCACAGGAATATCATCACTCCATTCAGCGTGGTTTGACTACAATTCAGTACTACAGCAGAAAGGTCAACTGATATAGCTGTTCCACAGGGATTTTCTGTTTTTAATTTTTTTAAAACCCAAGCATTAGCCAACACGGGATAAATAAAATCTCAAAATAAAACAGGAAACTGTAAGACTGAAAGAACAGACAAAAAAAACTCACATTTTAGAAGAAGGATTTCCTTCAGTGGAGAAAGCTATTAAACATGCCCTCTCTGTGAAAATCAGGTTTTAATTAAATCAGCTTCCCCAGGCTAGCATATGCAAGCTAACAGAGATAAAGTGAAATATTTGCGCATTATGAAATATCCCATCCTGTAAATTGAAAGGTTTTTTTTTTTAATTAGTATTTGGTTTCTTTAAAGTAACTGTTAATAAAGATAGCAGGTGGAAGCTGCAAAGTTTTAATGTTTAGTTTGTCATATCGTGATCTGAGGTTATTTGTATAGTTTTTGTTTCATTGGACCTTCTCCCACTAATACATGGGTGAAAAGTATTGAGGATGTTTGACAACTACAGTCATACAGCACTAGTGTAACCACTTTACCTTCAAAGGTTATGAACAGACGAGGTTCTGGAGCTACTATTTTCATGTCTTGCCCGACAAGGGTCTGGTATCTTAGAACAAGTGCCAAACTCAAGAATTTGTTATTTTAATTGTATTGTTTCATGCAGTACTGATAGAAATCAAAATATTGAATTGTGTGTCCTGATATAAGTTGAACCTTACTGTGTCAGCATTTAACATTCAAATTTGGAATAAACTTTAGTCACATACACATTCTTTTCTCCTGTATTCAGTGATGCACTGTATGTACACTGATCAGTAAGTATCCTCTTAAAGTGGGTAAGGCCTATTTCCCATGAGTAAACATAACTAAACTATGCCATAAACAATTAATTCAGATCATCAGTATAACCAGATCCTAAAACCAGGGCACAATGCACCTGTCAGTTAGTACTGTACTACTGTCTTGAGACTATTCAGAGGACAATCACATAATTTAATGTAAAGAAGCCTTCAGGCTTAGAAATATATTAATATATTAAACAAATTCAGGCTTAGAATTTGGAAGCAGACAGGTACTGAAGGAGTATAACTACTCTTCCACGAAAGAAAGAAAGGAGGGAAGAAAGGAGGGAAGAAAGGAGGGAAGAAAGGAGGGAAGAAAGGAGGGAAGAAAGGAGGGAAGAAAGGAGGGAAGAAAGGAGGGAAGAAGGAGGGAAGAAAGGAGGGAAGAAAGGAGGGAAGAAAGGAGGGAAGAAAGGAGGGAAGAAAGGAGGGAAGAAAGGAGGGAAGAAAGGAGGGAAGAAAGGAGGGAAGAAAGGAGGGAAGAAAGGAGGGAAGAAAGGAGGGAAGAAAGGAGGGAAGAAAGGAGGGAAGAAAGGAGGGAAGAAAGGAGGGAAGAAAGGAGGGAAGAAAGGAGGGAAGAAAGGAGGGAAGAAAGAAAGGACTACTTTCACATCAATGAGGGACAAAAACCCACCACCTAAATGCATAGGAGGCATCTTAGAAGGGCTGATGCTGCAAAGAATTCTGAAAGCCTCATGACATTTTAATTATTTTCCTCAGAATCTGTGCTTTTCTAGTAAGAAACAAGTTATTCTGTATTAGAGGTTGAGAAAGAGAATGTAGAGGAAGGATTTAAGCTTCCTGCCACATTTATTCTTACTGTTTAATATATTAGTCAATGATTTAATAAATGTTTCATAACTTGGTTTGCAGCAGCTTTGTGGAAGCATGATTCAGCATGGATTTGGATGGGGACCTGTATTTCCTGCATGATAAATCACATCAGAGTGATGTACAATTAATCAATTAATTATTCTTTTGCTTGCTTAGTGTTTAGCTACATTTGACATGACAAATTTGCAAGTCAACTGAGGTACTATAGAACATCTCTTGGGGTCCCAGTTTATTAAAGCCTATGAAGTATGTGTTTAACCTGAAACACGGAGAATCGCATTCAAAATCATTAGGGCAACAAGCATGCTTCACAAGTTTCTGATAAGAAGCCCTTTACTATATTATGGTCTCTCTTTATGCAGTTATCTGAAATAATCAGCACTAACTGGGACCAGCAAATAATAGGAATCCAAAGTGGCATGATCTCTTATCTCACTAATCTCAACAATTAGAATTGCCTACTATTGATCATATAAGTCACACAAATTTAAGAGAGGAACACGGGGAAGGCAGGGAAACAATTTGATTGCTTAAGTTCAAAAAAAAAAAAAAGGTGCGTTTTTTTTTAGGAATAGTAGAAGCCCCCTGCAGAAGTTACAGAAACAAAGCACCCATTCCACAAGCAAAGCAAAAAAGGCTCCATCAAATATTATTAATAGGTATCAAAGAGCAGAAAACAGAGGTTGAAGATTGGCTGAATGAATATGCAGACACTTTTACATATAAAGATTAGCGCAAGGGCCTGAACTTAGTCATGCAAAAGAAGAGGAAGTGTGCAAGGTGATGATCTAATCAGGTTCTTACCAGGGCTTCATTATCTTCTGCAATTTCTGATATCGTCTGTAAAATTAAAACTTGCACGTGAGGAGAGACACTTTAAAACATCTGCATGCTATTTACCTATGCATATATACACACACACATAGCCTAATTCATTAAATTCCAAAGACAAACACACAGTAGCAGGCAGTAAGTTACTAACAACTTGCTGTGAACAGAAACAGTTCAGTACCCATTAAAGGAAAGTACATTGAAAGTTAATTTCAAATACTTGTTCAGAATATTTCTGTTAACAAAAAAGCAAAATAGAATAGATAATTGACAGGGTGAAAACATTAAACATTTCTCTTAACCATTACAGCATTCCTAGGCATCCTAAATTGTTTAAGTATTTGTATAAAATAAGTCTTTGGTAGAAAACAACAAAGGTTTACACATTAGGCATTTTCTGTCTCATTCCTATGACATGTAATCACTTATCTAACAAATTTATTTACTTTCAGTTTCCATCACTAATACAGAGGTCAGAATTGTCAGCACGGTTGAAAGGTGTTGCTTAGCTAGAACCAACACAGACCAAAATCCTGATCTTCTGATGTCAGTGGCAAGTTTTCCATCAACTTCAAAGGCAAACAAAAATTACCTCGGCTTTTCAACCACAGAGGTGTGTTTACTCAACATCTCAAAGCCACCTCATGCCAGCTCAATGACAACTACAGTGCAGTGGTCTGATTCCAACAAAGTGTGTAAACTCACCTGCTATCTTTGTTACTTTTAAATTCACAGCCTGATGGACATGCCTAGACCCAAAATGCTGAATCAACCCACTTGAGAAAGACAATGACCTGCTTACGAAAATGTACCTTACTGTTTCAGATGCCAGCAGGTTCACCTACATAACTAGCTTTCAGCATCATGCTGTCACTTTTCTAGTAGCTTCCAAAGCACTTGGTTCCTAGCTGTGGCAAGAGGTTTAATGTATACCAGTTAAAAGCTTTTTTATTTAGACATTTCCTGTGGTTTTTTTTGTTTTGTTTTGCGTGAGATATAGGGCTGTGCACACTCAGTGAACAAGAAGCTTTGGCATCATATTACTATATATTCAAGAAACTTAAAGTCAAATGTGAAGGGGGGGGTAGAGCAATAAGCACACTTGAAAGCTGTAGTGCACTAATCACAACTGTCACCGTCCTGGTAAGCACTGGCTTCAGAACTGCTGGTTATTCTACTAAGGAAACCAAAATAGACACAATCAATGGTAAAAATTGCATCCAACACAAGTAACTTTTCTTTTTGGTAAAATATCACTTGAACCAAGGGGAAAAAAAAAAGTCAGTGTCCTACTTTGCCCTTTCCTATGTCCCCTAAGTCTGATTCACAGACTTTTTTCAGAGGTTTAGCTGGGCAGACTAGTGCCCAACAGGAAAAGAAGGTTCCTCCTTCCTCCCTGTCCCCTTCTGCCCACGTCTTCCCCTTTGCATTTGCCATTCTGCTCTCAACAGCTCACACTCCAGTCTCTCCAACTGTTGATTCAACTTACTGTCCCAGAACTCGATTAGATTATTTTATTTTATTTTGGTACAGCAGTGACTCCTACCACCTTGCATTTTCCATTCTTTTTATGCATAAGCAATGTTGTGCTTTCTACTTAGACTGCTTGAATTTATGTAGTGTCTTTTCAGGAAGAAGGACCAGCCTCAGACAGAGCAGCTTTAGGGCTGGTTTGTGTAATCACACATGCAGAAAACACAAAGACCACATTACAGTGACAGCAGTTTGACATCATTCAGTGCTAGCTATGAGCTGAAATATTAATGCCTGAAGAGAACGATGGAACAGGTTACCCTGTATCCAGGTACAGAATAGGCCATAGCCAGGCTCAAATTAAAAATATGACAGGATTTTTTTGTTGTTGGATTTCATGTTTAGTTTTTTTCTGCTGCCTCAGCTACCTGTGTAGCCAGCAGTAACAAGCAAACAAAAAGCATCTAGAGGATCAGACAGCTGTAAGAAGGAGAGAAAGTTACCCTTAATATGCTTTTCTTAGCAGAAAAGCTCCAAGCATTTCCTACAGTAGGAGAGCCCATCTTTAGCAGAACATCACTTCCTGTGCTTCTGCCAACACAGTGAGCTGCAGGAGACTCTGCTAAACTGTAACAAGCATACACACACACACAAAAAAAAAAAAAAAAAAAAAAAAAACATCACAAAAGCATTTTGTCAGCTCCCAAACATGTGTGGATCCAAGCAACCTTATGCAGCACATGCCAGCCAAACCTCTTAGGATCCTTCCGAAATAAAAAAAAAAATAAAATCTAAACTTGAAATTGTTGATGTGTCTTTTTGACATCAAAGAGAAGAATGAGTGGCGTTTACATACTGGTAGCATTTCAGAAGGCAGGCTCAATTTTGCCAGAGATTTTTCACAACAGGATATAATCAGGTGCATTTTCTGCATGACTAAACCCAGAGATTAAAGAACAAATACCTCAATCCCAGAACAAAACATTTAGACAGTGACTTCCTTAGCATTTGCAGGACTCTTACCCACCTAGAGTTAACTGGTAATTAGTTCATTTGAGAAGAAGATAAGCAATATAAAACAACTTTTTTTTGTTGTTGTTTAGAAAAATATAGAGAAAATTAAATTGTACAGATCTTTTCTGGTGAAGCAAATTTTGACTTGAGAGGAAAAATAACCTTCATATTAGAGCAAACAATTTCTATTAATCTCTGTTGCCTGAATGTCTGACAAAAGCAGCAGTCAATCAATGACACCAAGTGTTGCAGTGACACTGTACAGTATGGCTACAGATGTACTTCTTTCATCACTGAACAGGTGGAGGCTGTTACCAAAAGAAGCACATGCTGTTTTCATCCTATCATCAAAGCAAAAGCTTATAACCTGGTATTACCAGCAATACTGTTCACATTCACCCACAGAGCATGTTAAAGTTAATGCTCAAAGAGTAGTTGAGCTAACTCTTCCAGCAAGTCCTCCTGGAAAGGTACAATCTACCACCTCCATTAGTTTTCTTCTTTTTGTGTGTGTGTATATATTTATATTTATATATAAAACACACACACAAACAACTGTTGTTTCTTCTGGAGGGCTGGCTGTGGTAGAAACCAGACAGTTCCGTAAAACACTTCCTGGGTGAGTTACCCCAGGCATCGTCAAAAATGCTGAAGATCTTAGTGACATAGTCGAGACACCATAATTAGCCAGATACCTTTATTTCTTTATTAAAGAAGCTGTCCCTCAGGTGCACTTGCACAGATGAGAATAAAACCATGGCCAAACATTATGAGGGCAAATTAACTAGCGTTTTTGAAAGGTTCAGGCACTGTAGTGGCGAAAGCCATAAAAACAGACAGCAACTTTAATACAGGAAGAAATCACAAAACAAATGCTAACATAATGCAGAGTAAACATTAATGACAAGTTACTCATTTAGACATTTTGCTACCACAGTATTTTCCCTGTCTGGCCTATAATGAACCTTGCAATATATTTCTGGCTGAATCCCAAGGAATTCACAGTTCCCTGTGGACCTTCCCAAGCCATACAGACCTAAACTTGCCCAAAGTGCACTGTATGTTGTGTCAAGAGTGGCTTCCAGCTGCGACCATATTAGCAAGGACCTAACTGGGTCAACTCCTACATGTTCACATGCAAAAATTGCTGTACAATAACCTAAGATGTCCAAGTCTTGATCACACTGGGATAATGTGCACTGCACAATAAAGGCTTGTCTGAACTGTAGAAAACTACTAAAAATTTTGTCCCATTGAGGTAGCCAGTGCAGACCCCCTGGAGTTAGAAATGCAGTGAGCTAAAGTAGTCACATCGCTCACGGCAACCCATATTTCTGAGCCTGCACTGTTCAAATATTTGCAGAGCTGGACGAAAACACCAGAGGATAAAAGCGTTCCATTCAGCATGGCCCTGGCCATGGCCATTACTGGCAAAGGTAGAAGATGCAAATAAGAACTTCCTCCTGCATGTAACAAAACACTGACTGGATGATGGATGAAGGACCGGCTAACCACAGTAAATCTGGACTTGGATACTGTTTTTCAGGCACTCAGAAGGATAGCCCACAGTCTGGATAATAGGCAGCATTTGGGAATCATAAGCCAAATACACAGGAGTGCATTTTTCTAGATTTTGTCTGTATCAGGTGTGGTGATCACATAAATGAAGTCTGGCTAACACCTGTGGTGAGGGTTTGAAATGTATTATGTAGATGAAATCTACAAAATGATTTTTAATGCATGTAGCAGCACTCCCACTCCTCACAGCCACTGCAATACTCCACAGTCACCATAGCTTGAGACAAAAACTCTGGAAAAGTTGCAGAAGTGGAGATTTTAAGCTTTACTTCTAATTTTTGCTATTTCTTTGAATACTATACTTTCATACGGATTTAAAAAAAAAAAGAAAAAAAAAGATGAGTTTTGTCTAGCACTTGGTACTTTGAAGAATATTTGGAAACATAAATCTGCCTTAGAATTACTCTTTTTAATGACATTTTACAAAAGTGGTTGCCAAACCAAAACCAGTAATACTGTCTCCTCTCCTCTGCCTTGTTCCTGTCAATAGGGTGTTCATATCAATACTTAACAGGGGTCATTTAAATATTAATATTCTTAAGTGCAGGCCAAGTAAGAAGAACCCCAGAATGAAAGCATCCAGGATGAGGAGAGAGCAGGCAGCAGCAAGTCTCCCCCCTTTCCCTCCAAAGGTGTGATCTTCAATGGTTCATTCTCCTGTTGTTACCATCTCCACAGCAGAAGAACTGGATTAGCTGACTTTTATAAACTGTTCTATATTTCTGTCTTACAGACAACAGGTCACACACTCCTGACATTACAGAAGCACTAAGAAATGAAGATTGCACAAAGCCCCTGTTGGACACAAATCAATGTTGGCAGCAATGTCAGATTAAGTAATCTATGCTTCCAGGTGAAGATTCACAGGAACGGCTGAGCCTGACAGACCAGTGCTGTCAAAATAAATAAATAAATAAAATTATTTTCCTCCCTTCGTTAGCTGG